CCCCCGCCTATGACATTCCGTCTCGCCATTGGACTGATTTCATACGTGCTTCATGACGCACTCACGCAGAGGCATTCCCATTGCGATTACACCCAGCGTCTCGTTCCCTTCAGGGAACTAAGGTTACATGCCTAACCAGAGACGATTTTGTGGCATGCCTAAATTTGTGCTTTATTTAAAGGTATAGTTCACTTTGAAATAAATTTTTGATATGTTTTAGCTTACCTCAAGGGCATCCAAGATGTAGGTGTCTTTCCACAGTATTTTAAATTTTATCCACAAGTTTCCGAGGGGCGCTCCTGTAAAAAATAAAGTGGGTGAAACTTCCGGTGACGCGGCGGAAGTAGCATTCCAATGGTATTTTGTGTGTTAGTTAGCCAAGAGGCTAGCTGTTTTTCTGAGAATTATTTTACTATTTAAAGACGCAAATCTTTATGAGAGATGTCGTTACGGACAGTGGTGGTAACGAAGTAAAAATACTTCGTTACTCTACTTAAGTATTTTTTTGGGGGATCTGTACTTTACTTGAGTATGTTTTATTTGCATCTACTTTCACTCTTACTCCACTACAATATTAAAGGCAAAATTTACTTTTTACTCCGATACATTTCCCCGTGCCCGCTCCGAGTATTTATTACACTTGGCTTTCCAAACCAATGAAAAACATTGAGAAAAAAAAACAAAAACGCACGCGCTCGCGCTCTTTGCCAGCACGCTCGCTCACATAGCAGTTCAGTTCGTCAGTTCAGTGGAAGATGATGACCGCAGAAACAGTATAGCAGCTCTCTCTGTCAGCAGAAATGATCCCGAGATTCCCGACAGAGATCACCCATGACCATATCTCAGGGATATTTTTGAATTCACTGAAGTCAAGGGAGATCGGCTGAAATGTCTTCTTTGCCTGCCACGGCCGTGTTACAGTGCACTCTATCTGTACAACGCGACATAGCCTACACATCACACGTGAATAAATAGGTACGGGACACTGCAATTCACCAAAGTTCATTATTTGCATAAGCCTTGCCGGTTAAACATTTAATTCACGTGATGATGCGTTGTTCTAACGTGCGCTTTCCTGAGCGCATACCCTCGACGCTCGCAGGCACCAGAAGCCTGTCAAACAGCGCCTGAATACTGGACTAAGTTATCTTTCGAGTTATGCTAATGCTGTTAAATACACACAATGTTTAAACAGAATTGGCTATGTCGAAGCAAACATTTGAGAGAAAATCTGGTGTAATATGCGTCTACATTAAACTCGTCGCGTGCTGGTATAAAAGCGACAGTGGTAAATAGTACTGCAGATTGTACTTAAAGGGATAGTTCACAAAAAAAAAAAAAAAAAAAAACGTAAATTTGTCATTATTACTCTAATGTTGTTCCAAACCTGTATTAATTTCTTTCTTGTGCTAAACACAAAAGAAGATTTTTTTTTTTCAATGTGGGTAACCAAACAGTTGTTGGTCCCCATTAACTTCCAGGAGAGAGAAAAAAAACTAAACACTGGGGACCAGCAAATGTTCGGTTACCCACATTATTCAAAATAACTTTTATTTTCAACAGAAGAAAGAAACTTATTTGGGTTTAAAGCATCTTGAGAGAGTAAATTAAGACAATTTTCATTTTTGAGGGAACTATACCTTTAGTGTTAATAAAAAAATAATAATAATAAAAAAAAACACAAGTTGAAAATCTCACTGAATGAGAACTGTAAGAGTAGCTTTAATAAAAATCAATAATTTTTACAGTGAAGTCTATGTAGTGTTTTAATTTCATATTTGTTCATTTAATTACCTCAATGCTACTGATAAAAACACCTATTGTATCTGAAAAAATAAAGCACTGTTTATTTAATTTGAATATTAATTTGTTTAATGTTTATCTTGTCTTATTTTTTTAATAACAAAGAAAATAATGACAAAGATTTTTATCTTCGCCACTGGCCTAAATGTATGCCTTTCTTTTTTTTCTTTTCTTACCTAAGTCTTTGTTTTTAACATAGGGACATTAGTTTGGCTGTAATGAACAGCCACTTGCAAAATATTAAAACCAACTTGAAAAAGAATCGTGATAAAAAATCGTGATCGTGATTTTACTAAAAAAGATTGTGATATATTTTTGCCATATCGCCCACCCCTGAAATGAAGTAGGCCTGAAGTAGCATTATTTACAAACCAGTTATTTGAGAGTTCTCAGTCATTCATAAGATCACTTAGAAAGTGTAAGTAAATGTAGTAAATACAGGTAGTTATAAAGCATTTAGTAGTGGTCAGTTAACTATTTGTGAGCTCATCTAAAGTGAGTATGCATGCCTTGTAAAGCATTTATAAAGGATATTTAAAGGAGATCAATCTTCTAAACAGTAAAATGTAACAGTGAACATAGAAATATTTAACAGCCTTTAAATCTCCTGTTATTGTCTCTTATGATTGCAAATCTAACAAATTCTTAATTGCGGTATGTAATCTCATCATTTGTTCAATTAAATAATTGCATATCACCCCCAAAATAATTGATCTGCATAATTATTTATATTTATAGTTCATTTGAATATTCACTTTTACTTTCAGTACTTAAGTACTTTTTAAATCGGATTCTTTTGTACTTTTACTCAAGTGATGTTTGAATGGAGGACTTTCCACTTTTACTGGAGTAATATTTTATTTAGGTATATATACTTTTACTCGAGTACAACTTTTGAGTACTTTTACCACCCCTGGTTACGGAGCTCAGGGACAACATGTGCTGTTCGCGGTTGTATGTATAACCGGACTAATTCAGTGGCTTAAACGTGATTGTTTTGAACATAAGCTGAAAACGAAATCAGAGTGATCCTGCCAGAGCCAGTCTCTGATCTTGCCAACGACTGTAGTTTCCATCACCTCCCAAAAGACGACGAATCTTCCAGTGTACATTTGTTTAAATTCCTAATATTCTATAAACTCTATCAGCATGTGTTTGGCTGTTTGCTACTGATGTTACACCTAAACACAGGATCAAAGCCTGTGTTGACAGAATACCAAATGTGCCAGTTAATGTATTCAAGTAGCACATTCATTTATAATTTTGAATAAACTCCAAAGCACAATGACCACAGTCACCATGCCTTGATGAGTATTGATTATTAATAATGGTACTGTTATTTCACACTTTTGAATTTCGTTGAGGTTGTGTTCCCACATCGTTAGCTAGTTTGGATCGCTATAACTTGAATGACCGTCAACTGTTGAATGAACGAGTGTCAAGCATGTCAAATTGCGCTTTGTTTACTTCGAACCGGAAGTCGCGCCCACTTTTGACGCAAGGCCTCATGGGGCGTAGAAAACTTGTGGATATTTTTAGGTCAAACCATTCTTGTCTGTCAGTCATATAATGGAGGTCTATGGGGTCTTCCTCAAAGAGCATGCACAGAGAAGTCCAAACTAAACATGATTTAGTGACTCGTAAATGTAAGTATTGATGGCCTAAGACACGAAACGAGTGGTTTGTGTGAGAAAACAAACAGTATTTACATTGTTTTTACATCTTGTAATCACAGTCATGTCCATTATACTCTGAGGGATCTTCTGTGAAGATCTAAACATATTTAGATATAGGTACAGGAAATCTCAATGGAAGATGATTTCGATATTTAGATCTTCACAGTGAAAGGTAAAACTTCCAAAATCTCTGTGTAAACAATGAGTGATACACGCGCGAGAGATCACTTCCTGGACTTTCCGGTGCATGCGCAGACAAAAGCGCCCGCTCCCTCAGAGTATAATGGACGTGACTGTGATTACAAGAGGTAAAAAGGATATAAATACTGTTCGTTTTCTCACACAAAAACCGCTCGTTTTGTGTCTTCAATGTGTACTTACATTTACGAGTCATTAAATCATGTTTAATTTGGACTTCTCTGTGCATGCTCTTTGAGGAAGAGCCCAGACCTCCATTTTATGACTGACAGACAAGAACGGTTTGACCTAAAAATGTCAAAATCAAAAATACTGTGGAAACAAAGACACCTACATCTTGGATGCCCTTGATGTAAGCTAAAATATATCAAAAATTAATTTCAAAGTGAACTATCCCTTTAAGCAGCTGCCTTTGGCATTTCTTGTCTTCACCAGGGCACGAGTACTTTTTAACCTCCAATATAACATGATATGTAACTTATTGGCTAAAGATCTAATAGGTACCCCAAAGCTGTTTTAATTTTTGATTAAGATCTTGGAGAGAATGGATGAGAGTGAGGGAGACTTGCAGACCTTTATTTATCTGCTTGTGATGTCACTGTGACGTGAAATTAACACAAATAATCCTCTGTAGCCCCTTGCCTCCAAGTGCAACCAGTGGCATTCCCAAGAGATTAATACAGCATTAAGTGTAAATGACTTAACTCCAATCCACTTACAAGGACACATGCTAAAATCCTGATATTAAGTGTGCCAAACTCAGTTGTACAGTAGAGAAAATCACCAGCGAACGAGATCAAGGAAGTTATGACCATTTTAAATGTCCTCTTTAATCACATGCATATTATTGTCTGAGAGTTTAGAGCAAGTTTAGGTAATGGTGATAATAAATTATGGTGTGGATTACCAAAAACGGATTGGGATATTCATTGTCAGATAGAAGCAAAGTGAAATGGTATGCTCTGTTTAAAATGGTTTCACACCTCCTCCACTGATACCTATTTTATGTATTTTTCTTACTTCTAAAACTTGTTTAAACCTGACACTTATTTTATACACATTGATATGGAATCTGTGTCAGTATGCCATTGTAATTAGGTTGCAGGGGTAAACACTAATCCATGATGCAGGAGGCCGGCTTCAGAAATCCCCACCAGAACAGAACATGGTCACAAGCTAATTGGATGTTCAGTGTACTAAGTGTGGAGACTGTATATTTAGACATTAAAATGTTAGCGTTATAACTGAACTTTATCTATTTTCAGATCTTGCATATGGGGAAATGACAACAAAGTAAGTCTGAACACAAAAAATCCTGATAACTACTGATAAATCCTGTTTTTTATTACAACAGTTTCAATGTTCCATTATCGATAAATGGTTTGTGGCAATATAACATGGTTGCTGAGTTTCTTTTTAATTTTTACATAATCCAAGAAAGAAATTTGATCTACAGCTGAAAGCGTTCACATTGAATTTACATTTTGAACAATGATAACCGCCATAAGACAACCAAGACAGGGTGCAACATAAAGCAACCCCAAAACCACATCGATAAAAAGGGCACAATCAATTCAAAATCAACACCCGGGCCTTAGAAGTGTTTTCACATCTAGACTGATTTTTCTTTTTTTCCTCCTCCTTTCTTAGCAATAAAAAAGCATTTTACTGAAGCAGCACTAACAAGAAGGTGTTAATCATTACCAACATAAAAATCCAAGATTGTGCAGTTTATCCTATAATTTGAAATAAAAAATACAATGCCATAACTTTGTGAGCTGGTCACTTGTCAACAAAAAGCCACGCCTCAATCGGATGATGAATATTTGGGGATATCCACTAGGCCACGCCCCCTTGTCCAATGGCATAGTTGAAACCAATGCAAAATAGCCCACCATGGGCACCAGATGAATCCATTCCACATGCTCCTGGAAGTAGAAGCTTTCTCTTTTCTTCCCAATGCTGGAATGGACAAGGGTTGTGGTCCAGACGCATCTAGGTGTTGCTAGAGGGTCGGCTCATCCCATCCGACAGTGATGCAGCTTTAGAATTTTTTTTTTTTTTTTTTTTTACATTTTGGTTAAAAAATTATGCTGCTAAAAGAAGTGAATGAAACGAAGGCAATGCAGGGAAGGGAGTGTGCACAGTGCATGATGGCAGCTTGTGTCTTCATGAGGCAGCCTGCTTCTCCTGTTCAATGGCTGTGGACAAAGAAGTAAAGTCACATTTAAATTCACCTACTCTTTTTGAATTTTTGCAAACAAATTGTGCTTCTAAATCTCATTTGATAACATTCTGTGTGAAGATTAACTAATTATAACCTAAGGACACAGGCATAAACGTTTCTAAGCACAGCTTACTATAGTTATGTAATGCCTGGATGTTAAAAAAAGGACAATTTTATGCTGAAATTCGTACTTTCTTTAGATGGCAGTGGGTTTTTCTCCTGCGTTTCAGTCTTCTTCAGCTTGGTTTTGTCAAAGCTGGTGACCTCTTCCAGGTTTGGTTTATCAGACATGATTGCTTGAGGAACAAAAGAGAATAAAAAAATATATATATAAATTTATTTTCCTCGCTTTCTTGTCTGCAAACGAACTTAAGTCATTAGGAGATAGCGAGGGTTGCTTAGCTAAAACACCGAGGCAATTATGAAGGTCTCGCAATCTATAGTTCATTTGGAGACAATTTGGATCACATCCCGTTGATGTGCATGACAGTGCCACACAGCACAGAACAAAACCGCACCCTTTTTGAATGGCGTCTGATCTGAGACAGCAAAAAATGGATATTTACATAACAATAGCAGTTCCCACGCTAGGATTACAAGAGAGCCGCAAATTTGATGATTCAATACGACAGCGGACCGTTTTGCATTTAGCCTATCTTTTCTTTCCTTTTTCTACTGTTTTTGCGTCAGTAAAAATCTGACAGACTTTTGGGGGTTCTTTCGTGAACATGGTCGCACAGATCATTTCGATTGGATTTCACAGAATGTGATTACATTCAGGAAAAACCACCGCCCTGTGCCGCTTTATCAGCCAGCACACAATTCTGCCGTTTCTTTTAACGCCCTGTTCACCAATCTCACGTTATAACCTACTCTGCCTTTGATGCAAGGGAGCAAATGTACAAACTGACGTAATGAGTCGCATCCTTATTAATGCATTTGCAGCACAAAGAGGCTTAACAAAATAAAATAGGTTAACCGCCTTGATCGCCTGGAGTAGCCTAATTGACTTAAAATCAACATTTGCGTATTTGTTATAGCTAGGCAACTATTTAGAATGTCCTGAAGATGCTTTGAACACAGCACGTCTTGCACAAAGACATAACGTGATATGTTTTCCAGAATTATTTGAAAAATGACCGATTTCACACGTCCAAGAAAATAGGCTAACGTTACTGATATAACGGTTTACGATAGTTAACATGGTGCCAATATAATTATTTTATATGCGTAGCATTAGATCTAAAATACATACCTTCGTAGACGGATTTGAGTTAGAAGCCTTTAGCTGAATAACGTTACAGTTACTGTGGCGCGCCAATGCGCAAGCATGAACTAATATAGAGGGAGATATGCTAATCAAAAGCTGACGTCAGTTCTCAGTTCTACTGGAAAACAGAACATGGGTTCAGGGCAGGTAATATGAATGTAGCATTATCATATCTAAATTGTTGGTTTTAATCGCTGTATTTTTATGACAAAGAAATCAATACTTCGTTGTATTATGTGTTTCTTTTATTTGACATTTTACATTTAATATGATTTTAGCAACGTGCCAAGACGCCACCTGGTGGATATGTTAGACTGTTACATTTAATTTTATGCTCAACAGTTTTGATTAGCAGGGGATAAAATAACAACTTAGATAGCTTACGTGTTTTTTATTTATTTATTTTTATTGTTTTGTTTGTTTTGTGGGTTTTTTGCGTTTATTTATTTATTTATTTTAAAGGAAAGAAAATCATCTACAAATCATCTACAAATGATAAATTAAAACACATTTACTGTGAATATATATCCCATATGCAATATAATTATTGCATCTCTCCAACCCCTCACCGTTTGTACCTTTTTCTTTTTTCAATATTTTTAGTTTTATAATTTCGCAATAATTTTTGGGGTACTTTTATGTGTTAGTGTATGGGGCTTTTACTTTGGTAATGATCCGGAAGTAATCTTGAACACATGTGCGTTCATGTGCTTAGAGGTTTTCACGTGTAGAGTGATGTGGTTTTGATGCTTAATGGATCATCTATAACGTATTATCTCAAAAAACATGAAGTTTGCATACAAGGTATGACCGACGCTATTTTATTCGTGATGTTCTTTTTGTGAATAATTGTATTGGTTTTCATTATATATTTGTTTGTGAGATCTTGCCTGCTGGTATACGATTTTGTTGATTATATAATACGTGTGTGTGTATGTATATGTGTATATACATAATAAAAGAGACTAATTATTTGTTTTTCTTATGTGCATGCCCGAAAGATAACGTTGGATTGAACTTGTTTGCGTTTCCTTCTAGTTTTCCAACTTACTAGGCGCATTTTATCGCTACGGAAACCTGTCTTTCTCTAAAGATGGGAATTCTGTCATCAGTCCTGTCGGGAACCGCATCTCCGTCTTTGATATGAAAAAGTGAGTATTTCTATTTCATAACGTTCAAACAAGCTAATTTCATAGCCAGTCTAAGTGAGTTTGTGAGTAGAAAACACACTCATTTACAAGCGAATGTTATACTGATTTCAGCTGAGTATTGTTATTTTTCTTCAGTAACCGATCAGAAACCTTACCAGTGTCCACCACAAAGAACATCACCTGTTTTGGAGTCTCTCCAGATGGGAATCTTGCCATACTTGTAGATGAAGGTATTGGAAAGTTCACCATTCTCCATGGGTATTTTTTTATGTCATGTACTGCCTGTGTTCAAAACTTGTTCAGAACCTGTTCAAAAAAGTCCTTTTTGAAAACAATCCCAAATCAAATTTCATTCTGAGAAATAAGTCTAAAGGTTATGAATAAAGAAATTGTGTTGCATAAAATGCTAATGAAATGTAATATTGATGACTCTGCACCTTTTCTGTGTCAATAATCAAGTTAGCAATTTTTTGTTATGTCACATATTACCTTACTTCCAAAGAAGCACAAGGTCTTAGATCACCCAAAAACGAAAATTTTCAAGACAGAAAATTCTGTCTTGAAATACCCTCATGTCGTTCCAAACCCGTAAGACCATTGTTCCTCTTCGGAACACAAATGAAGATATCATCTGATGTTACTTTTTATTTAACACTAAAACGTTAAGCATATCTGTTCCGTGAGAGCAACAGTAGCGCATAATGAGTGTGGTCTCTATATCTATTCGTTTGGGTCACATGACGTCACTGTAGCTTTGCGCCGCCATCTTTACGACTGACGGTCTCAGTAATGCGTGCAATATGTTGTGCAGTTGGCTGCACAAACAGCCGATGGTATTTTATTATATACAGTGAGGAAAATAAGTATTTGAACCTGCTATTTTGCAAGTTCTCCCACTTAGAAATCATGGAGGGGTCTGAAATTGTCATCGTAGGTGCATGTCCACTGTGACAGACATAATCTAAAAAAAAAAAAATCCAGAAATCACAATATATGATTTTTTTTAAAACTGTTTACTGTATTTGAATGATACAGCTTCAAATAAGTATTTGAACACCTATCTATCAGCTAGAATTCTGACCCTCAAAGACCTGTTAAGTCTGCCTTTAAAATGTCCACATCCACTCCATTTATTATCCTAAATTAGATGCACCTGTTTGAGGTTGTTTGCTGCATAAAGACACATGTCCACCCCATACAATTAGTAAAAATTCAATGACTAACATGGCCAAGACCAAAGAGCTGTGCAAAGACATAAGACAAAATTGTACACCTCCACAAGGCTGGAAAGGGCTACGGGGAAATTGCCAAGCAGCTTGGTGAAAAAAGGTCCACTTTTGGAGAAATCATGAGAAAATGGAAGCTAAACATGATGGCTGTCAATCTCCCTCGGACTGGGGCTCCGTGTAAGATCTCACCTTGTGGGGTCTCAAAGATCCTAAGAAAGATGAGAAATTGAGATTGAGTCGTAAATATGGCGGCGTTCTATTTGGAGTGATGTAGGTGGGATCTATGAATAGAAATTTTTAGCAACGAAATTGTCAGACATCCATTAACGGTAGTGCATGCGAGGGAAAACAACTGGAAATACAGCGCTGGTTGTTCTCTCCATAGCGTTATTCGACAACGACGGAATCCAACGGCGTGGGCAAAGGTATAATACGTGTATTAAATTCAATTGTATGAAATAATCCCGAAAAAAGCACAAACACGGCAGAGATGGCAAGGACAGCAGCTGTTGGAATTAGCTGAGAGTGACGTTAAAGGGATAGTTCACTTTGAAATAAATTTTTTGATATGTTTTAGCTTACCTCAAGGGCATCCAAGATGTAGGTGTCTTTGTTTCCACAGTATTTTCAATTTGGACATTTTTCAGTCAAACCGCAGTCAAACCGGTCAGTCATACACTGGAGGCAAAGGGGGTCCACCAAAAAGCATGCACAGAGTAGTAGTAGCCTTTATTGTCACTTAGTCACAAGTAGCAGTGAAATTAGCCATCAACCTATCCATCAGACATACATACAATAAAACAAGGGGGTAGACAGGACAGGAAGACAGAACATTGAGGAAGAAATACAGCATAACATGAGGAGAGGTGAGGAGTAAAAAAAGGCAACCCTTTTAACCCCCATACTATGCTCCTGTGAGGAGTACAGTTTGGGAACAGTAAAAAAAAACACCTCAGCAACATTGGCACATAATCAGTACACTCTACTAAATGAACAGACAAGACTTGCAACAGGGTACGGGAGTGGGGGGTGGAGGTGACCCAGCACAGGCAAGCAGCCATCCGGTCCTGCAGCCATTCTCGGCGCTGGTCACAGACCCGCCTGTCAGACTGGGGGGTGAAAAGCGGCGAAGGGGAGGGATGGGGTGTTGGGCTGGTGAATGCATATCTGTATGTGTAAGAGTTCGTGTATGTGTAGGCCTGGAGTGTTGCTATGCCTGGCATCATAATCTAGGTGCCTCAAGTCCGCAGATGTCATAGCGATACACAGCAAGTTGCCGTGGAGAAAACCTTGATCATGTCCCAGACAAGAGTAAATGCGAAGTCAAAATTAAACATGATTTAATGACTCGTAAATGTAAGTACACATTGATGGCCTGAGACACGAAACGAGTGGTTTTTGTGAGAAAACGAACAGTATTTATTTATCTGAATCAGTTGTTCAATGTCCAACTGAACCGAACTGAATCAGTTCAATGTTACGCCGGAAGTGATCGCTTGCGTGTGACGTCACTCAATATTTACACGGAGATTTCGGAAGTTTTACCTTTTACTAAACATATTTACATATACCCAAATCATCTTCCATTGCGGTTTCCCGTATATCTAAATATGTTTAGTGAAAGGTAAAACTTCCGAAATCTCTGTATAAACAAAGAGTGATGTAGGCGCGCAAGTGATCACTTCCAGCGCAAGCGCAGACCGAAGCGCCCATGCCGTCAAATCATTTTGTCATGGCTATGATTACAAGAGGTAAAACGATATAAATACTGTTCGTTTTCTCACACAAACCGCTCGTTTCGTGTCTTAGGCCATCAATGTGTACTTACATGTACGAGTCATTAAATCATGTTTAATTTTGACTTCTCTGTGCATGCTCTTTGAGGTGAACCGGTTGAGGACCCCCTTCACCTCCAGTGTATGACTGACGGACAACAACGGTTTGACCAAAAAATGTCAAAATTGAAAATGCCGTGGAAACAAAGACACCTACATCTTTATTCCCCTTGAGGTAAGCTAAAACATATCAAAAATTAATTTCAAAGTGAACTATCCCTTTAAAGGGATACTCCACCGTTTTTTCATAATAAACTGTTATTCCCTTAACTAAGACGAGTTGATGCATACCTCTCTCATCTCAGTGCGTGCACTCAATCGCTCCGGCATGCGAGACACTTTGATATCACTTAATTAGCCCAGTTCATTCATTAATGTATGGCAGAATACCACATCAAACGCTTGGGAGCACTTCGACTTGGCGCCTATTGACTCGGCGCAGTAATATCATCACTCCGGAGAGGGAGAGGATTTTTCACGAGTGATGATATTACTGCGCCAAGTCAAAGTGCTCCCAAGCACTTGCTGTGGTATTCCGCCATACATTTTAGTTATCCACTTTACACGCTTAGAAAACAACATTTTATTTTGTGTCACCATTCTTGGTCGAGTTACACCCACTACTCGTGTAACTGTATTTAAATAGGGAAACCGTGGAGGTGTTTGGTCGTTTCTCTGCTTGGATCCTAATGAATGAACTGGGCTAATTAAGTGCTATCGAAGTGTCTCGCACGGCAGAGAGAGACACTTGAGTGCACTCACTGAGACGAGAGGTATGTATCAACTCGTCTTAGTTAAGGGAATAACATACACTCACCGGC